AAAGATAAGAGTAACCAACCTATGGTCCAAGAATTTCACAAAATGGAGAATCAACCTTCTACCTCCAAGATAAGATTATTTAAATAATTGCCCAAGTTCCTCATAACTGAGAGTAACTGTCTACTAGGAGCATGCATACTTCCAGGGGTTTACCTGGCAGACAGTCTTAGATTTTGTATCTAGAAGATTATAGTCCTGTGACTTTAAACAGAGCCTGGGGCAGAAAGTACACAAAAGAGTAAGAACACTTAAGAAGACTTTCCTGCCCTAGCTGGTTTGGCTCAGTGGTTAGAAAGTCGGCCAGGTGGACTGAAGGGTCCTGGGCCAAGGGCATGTACATCTCAGTTGCAGACTCAATCCCGGCCCGGGCAGCGGTGTGTGTGGGAGGCATGGGAGGCAACCAATCGATGTCTCTCTCTCTCTCACATCAGTGTTTCTCTCTCTTTCTCTTCCTTCCATTCTCTCTGAAAAGCAATCAAAAAATAGCCTCAGGTGAGGACTGAAAAAAAACACCAAAAACTTTCCTTGTGCCTGTGGCAAACAGCACAACACACTCAGGCTGAGACTTACTTCTAAACCAAATCCAACCTAGATTTAACTCATTTTCCCAGAATATCTAATACCTGAACTCAAACATTATAGGTTGACTCAAAACTTAAAAAGTAGAGTTCATACACAAATTCAGATTTCTTCCAATTTCTCAAATATGCCAGATCTCTTACCACTGGCAAGAATCACCCACCTGGAGCTGAGTGACGCGGCTGACCAAGCAGATACTCTAGACCCCACTGCTCCCTACTGCCTTTCCATCACTGAGACCAAGTCCATTTTATTTATGCCTACATGGTTTTCATAATAAAGAAATATGTCTCTGTAACCATAACTTTGAAAGGCAGAAAATAAAAGATAACAAAGGTCGTCTTAGCCTTAAAGATGGCCCATTTTATTTCCTGGCCCATGGGGGCATTTGAGTTTGTGACCCCAACAGGCAATGTTAAGAGGGAAAAAGGTCTTAACAGGATTACCTCACAGAGGGTGATCTGGCAACCCTGGGGGCAAATTGGAGAACCAATTCCTGAGTTGATTTTAATCTAGGGGAATTGCTCAGGGTAGGTCACTTCCCCAACTACTCTCATTTTCTGTACACGGAAGAGATAGAAGATACAGAATTATGGAATTTCTAGACACTGACATATTTAAGATTTTTAACATCATATAGTCCTGTGCTTCCCAAGTCAGATTCCTTAAAGTTAATATTGAAAACCTTAACTGTTTCTGGATTTTTTTTAAAATTTAAATAACAGTTTTATTGACGCCTGGCCAGTGTGGCTCAGCAGTTGAGCATCACTTAGGATCCAGGAGATCTCGGGTCGGTTCCCATTTACAACGAGTTACCAAGCCTCGCATTAGAAAGTTCCTCTATTGAAAACTTAAAGTTTGAAGGGCACAGTGCTCTAAACCTTTAATCCCTGCTATTCCTTAAGTCTCGCAGATTCCCGCCTTGGGTCAGGAACAGAGGGTTACTGTACAGGCCACACTTACTCGAGGTCACAGTCTAATTTTGTATCCCAAGGCCACAGCTTACAGGTCCAAAATGAAAGTCTCCTCAGATCTCCACTTCAGCAGAAACCCATGGTGCAGAAAGCTACTGCTTATCCCTAAATACATAAAAAGACCATCTCCCCTCCCCAGACATTCACACCAAGGCTCCCTAATAAAGAGCTACATAAAATTAAAGAAGTGAAACCAAAACCAACCACAAAAAGCAATATGCTAGAAGTGTTCAGAATCTGTGTGGGTGATTTACATGTGTGACATTCCTTAAAATGCTAAGAGGGCAAGAACCATGAACTATGTTCTAGAGTGCATAGCTCCGTTGTAGGGCCTTAGAAAGTATGAGCAAACCAAGAATGCATCTATTGAGTATTTGTGGAGCACACATTTGAAAGCCAAACTAAAAAACCTCAGTCAGACATGTTATTTCATTAAGTTTTGCCACGGGGAAAAGCAACTTTTTCCCCTCCAAAACATTGCAATCTTTGAGCACATGATACAAGACAAAATCAAGATGGAAAGGGCATGGGTTTCAAGGAAACTACATGAAGTTGGAATCCCATCAGCTCTGTTATTTACCCACATGGGCCACTGGGCACTCACATAGTCCCAATTCCTCAACCATCCTATTTCCCCGCCCAAAGTCAGTCTTGCCAAAGACCCTTCAGGAGTCCAAGACTTTGTGTGTTCAGGAGAGGACCATATTCCGAATCCACTTCACAGGGCTGAGGAAAATAATCACAACTTCCCCTGCATTTTAGTTCCTCCCCCAAAGCACTGTTGAACCTCATTTGGGAACAGCTGGAAGACAGCAGTTTACAGGAAACCAAACCCAAAAAAAAGCACAGAGTGTACCAGGGAGAGTTAAGCAGCTAGAACGAAGAGGCCAGGGGACAGACAGGAAGTTGGTTAGAAAGAGCCCAGGCCAGAAACAGTCACACAGAAGAGGAAGGCCAAGAGGCGCCCCAGCTGCCTTCCCCTTGGCCAAGGAGAAAACCTGGAAGCACTGGTGAAGGCTCAGGCCCCGCTGAAAGCAAAGTCAGACCACCTCTGAGGTTAAGTCGTCTTCCCTGGTCACCCCCTACCCGGGCCCTACTTCTCTGAAAGCCAGTCAGTGGTCATGACAGGACCGGGAGGACAGAGACTCCCTTCTGGAAGTTCCCTTGCTGCTTTCCACGCCAGAGGCTACAGCCCAGACAACTAACTGGTTTTGAGTCATCCGTCTGTCACCCTGTACCAAAGTTCCACACTGCCAACTCAACTCGAGGGCCATCCAAACCAGCCTCACACAGAAAGACAGAGCCCCTTCCTGAGAAATTACTCGGCAGGCACCCACGGGGGACCTGCCTCGTTGGGACGTGTGCACAGGGAACAGCAGTAACAGAAGTGAGCCAGCGGGTGGGAGGCATGAACAACAAGGTAAGCCTCCGACCAAACTAAGGGTGCGTTTTGCAATCAAGAAAGTTAATTGAGAAATGGCCAGTTGCCAAAATATTTCAGAAAGAAGTGGGGGTAGGGGGAGGATGCTATTACTAAAATTCCTTGGTGTTATTTAACAATAAGCCTTCAGGTTATCCAAACTGAAGGCAAAGGGGAGACTGGTTTATTTTTCCCCTCCAGGAGAGCTTAGGTGAGAGCTTTCTAGCCCAATACCTCTTGCTGCTCAGTCATCCATTCTCTCCCTGCACATGGAGTTTATATTAAAATAAGAACAGGATTAAGCTCTTTTAATAAAATGCATTCCTGTCTCTCACCCCTAGTTTTCTGTGAAAGGGCTCTTTTTCCCTGGAGCACAGGCTACAGTCTAGTTGGGTTTAAGTCCAACGGAGGTGCTCAAAATCTGTGATGGAGCAAGCAGGGCCGAAAGGAGGCAGAGGACTGCAGTCTCAAGACCATTTGTTTAGGAAAAAACAGGACATCTTCACAGGCTCAGTGCCAGCTGAAACTGGCAAGACCAGAGAAGCAGAGCAGAGCCCGACCAAGGCGCCATGGAAGGGGGGCGGGGAAGCACCACGGGTAACCTAGTGCGGCCGGCGGGTGGCAAACCAACCATCAGGGAAAACTTGGAGAGGAAATGGGAGGGTGGGGGCATTTCAGGAACCTAACAAAGGAACAAATGGATTAATCATTTATTCCAGAGCTAGAAAATGTCACCCGCAGCCCTGTGTCTAGCGTTTTAACTTCGACTTCAGGTAAATGCCTAATGTTTTAACTTGGATGTGTTCCGGGTTCATGGTTCTCCCCCCCACCCAAAA